CCAAGCCTAGTGTAGCCGAGTGAATAATCCCCAAGGTGAAATTTCTCATTATTAAGTGGTGGATTGTTGTTTAATAGCTCTTAGCTTTGCTACTATTTTTGTTTATCTCCAAGGATTAGTTAATCTACATGTACTCCTTCACCCAAGCGAGTTGAAAACCAAGAATCTTTAATGAATTTGCTTGTTATTTCAATAAGTTATTAATTGAGATTTCATTGTCAATGATTCTTAAATTTCTTAACAAGCTCATTTTGCATGTGGTTTCACATCACACACGCTGCTGAACAATCCACCAAAAGCTATTCAATATCACAATGAATAGCTGGTAGCCACTTAAAACTATATTAGGTCAGTTTTGTATATCATCAAACTTGTACTTCATTTAAGATCTGTATTGGTCATTAATCTTGAATTGCTCTGATTTGCAATTGAGCAGACTGACTCAGAAAAGTAAAAGAAATTCTTTAATCTTCAAGCACCGATCCAAAGCATTATCCAATCGATTCAACCAACAACAATGAACTAGATCCTCGCATGTGAAGTGAAAAACATACATGCACCCATCCTAACGCCAAAAACTTAGTACAACTATTATTGCAATAGAAATCGATGACTAAGAGCATTGTAAGGAATCCTTAAAAAATCTGGTTAACTGTCCTAGCAGTGTTTAAAAATAAATAAATTTCACAAAATAGAATTTCAGAACATGTGAAATTTCATCAAGTTTTTTTACCAAACTTGGACATGGTTAGCACTGTAACATACCTTGTATTCAGTCCAACTCCAGACCTGACAAGTTGGGCCAAACGTGGAACTAAAGATTCCAATGATTCTTTATCAGTAGCTTTTATGCACAAATCAAGGGTTTCCCACATTGTAGAGTCTTTAGATACAGCAACCCGCAAATTATCCAGTTTTTCTGCATGAATTCCGACATTTGCTGCATGCAACTATTTCACAAAAAATATATATAAATAAATAAAATATTGGAAATTGACACCATTTGGTAATTTAAACAAAATTAAAGCATTTTCTTAACAGGATCAAATACATTGTAAGACCTAACAGCTAGAAGAAAATAGTGTGAATAAAATGACAGATCTGCTCCCCCACTAAAACAAAAGATCCGGATTTTAAAGTGCTCACAACAACTGACCTCGACATAATTGAGCCTTTGGTCTTCAAGGCTTGATAAACATTCCAGCATACAGCAGACAAGGTCAGGTAGATATGGACGGATTGCATTTCCAGCACCCTGTAAAAAATAATTGCTACATTTGGATCAAGTAGTATTCAACTCAAGAAAAAAAGACATTTAAAAAAAATAAATAAATAAAAGACCAAGTTACAGAAAGATAAACCTAATGAAAATGCAGAGTAAAACTGAAGAAATAGTGTAAAGTAAACAGACTGAAAGCCATTATGATAACTACTTATAGCAATCAACTCTACGTACCCATGCAACAGGTCAAAGACATCACCACCACAAGCCTTATTCAATGTTCTTTAACCTACTGCACTCCATAGCTCTCAACCTACTTTCAAAGTTATGAAGAGAATTGCTTCGTGCTCCATCCATTTGACCTGACACCCTCTCCTAAGGCATGGTTTTCCTTGAGCTCCACTTTGGGTTTGCGCTTGCACACAAGAAGTGCTCGCTCTCATCTACTCTGCTCGTTGCAACATTGTTATACACTTCTCCATTTACTGATGCCAATGCCCCGTGGCGTGGGCATCTCATGCTCCTTGTACTCATTTGGGGGTCTCATCCTCAGTCCCTTCTACAGCTTGGGAAACCCTTTTGCTTCAACTTTTCACTTGCCACTTGCAAATTTTTGTTCTTCGCCACATGTCTAGCATCATGCTAGTTCTCTTCCTTTGGTTTCAAATCATTGCACATACCAACTTTGTTTCTAATTTGGAGCCTTCTCCTCGGCCACCGACTTCACAGGTGTCCTCACCAACTCTTGCACAATGGATTTCCAATTGTCCTACTACTTGCGCAGTTGTGCTCTTCATTCCTTCATTGAAACTGTTGAGGGGAAAAAGGATAATGCTTCTTCCTTTTGTTTCTTCTAATTTTTAGCAAGATTCAACACCAACTCTTCAAAGAAGACCATCCAAAATTCATGATGAACATGCTCTTATTTTTTCAAATTAGGAGATCTCAAACTTCACATCTCATTTTTCCTTCAATTTTATTGGAAATATTTACCAGGGTCACCCTAACCTTGTGGTTTTTCATGGATTCCTGTTTGATTTACAATTAAATTGAGATTTTTTTCCGTGGGCTTCTTGATTGCCACATATGCTTATCAAATTATCACTATAAGTATATTATTCTAGACTTTTCTCAAGCGGATCATACTATATGACCGGTTTCCGATAAGGATTCTAAAGTGATTGATTGTGCTGAGGAACCACCAATTACCCTAATTTGGGCTGCCTCTCCTTGGCGTTGAATTCATTACTTCAACCAATCCACTAATTATTCTATTCCATCTATTTTCAGAAGATCTTTATAAGTGAATGCATCTACTGCTAGGTGCTCTACACCATTTGTGGCTAGAGTTCTACCTGTAAATGGGTGTTACATCACAGTTGGAGGAGGAAATTTAGATTAGTTCCACCACAAATAAATATTGGCAAAAGGTGAAATTTAAAAGAATACCTTCCCATTGCTTTTTTAGCAAATTTTTGAACACGTTTACACAGCATTCTTTAAGGCTCACTAGGAATTAAGGAAATCAAGTCAGATTGAAATTAACCAGATTTCCCCTGAGAATAATGTCAAGGTTTAAAGATATGGGGTTCTTACTTCCTAAGAGCGCAAGCACTTATAGTTAATTACCACTCTTACTATGTAAGAGAGAACTCTCGATTAAGGATGAATAAATTTAAGATATTTTTAGTCTCAATAGTGGAGAAAATGGAGGTAAACCCGATCAAGATCCCATAGTTCTGTCGTTTTGGGTATACCATAGATTTCAGTCTATCAACACTAACAATCATTGACCATAGTGTCCAGGGAATCTAATTAGCAGCCATGGGTTGCCTCCTCTCAGGGATCCTGAGTAGACTGAAGTGGTTAGATATGATTTTTAGTTTGATTTAATTTGGGTTAGGGCTTATGGTTTCCTTAGAAGTTGCCCGCTAATTTGTTTAATTTGGGGCTTACAGCTCCAATTAGGAGTTGCCTTGATAGTGGGACTTACGGCCTCATTTAGAGGTAGCCTGATATTTTTATTTGGAATGGGGTTTACTACTCTATTTATGAGTTGCCCAAGGATGGGTCTTACAACCTAACTCTACAGCAAGGCTACCCGGGGATTTTGATTGTGTAGGTAGGACTTATGGCTTCCCTTAGGAAGTAGCCTAAAAAACGAGTCTTATAACTTAATCATTTTAGACTAAAATGTCCTTTGGTTTAAATTAGATTGTTTGGGGTTTATGATCATTGTTATTTATTTAATAATTTTCCTAAAACGTGGGACTTACGACTTCACTTAGAAGTAGCCCGTTGGTGTCTTACAACCTAACAATATAGGCTAGGATGCCCATAGGTTTAAATTTGATTTGAATTAGATTTGGATTAGGTCTTAATACTTTCTTAGAAGTTGTCTAATGATGGGTCTTACGACATAGCACTTTAAGCTAAGTGGCCCGAGTTCTGGGTCTTACAACCTAGTCATTTTAGACTAGGATGCCCGGGTGAGGGGTCTAGGTTTGTGTCATTACCTAAACACTTCTCTCAGAGATCGGACTTACAACTTCTATTAGAAGTGGCCGATGTTTTAATTGGGGGTTGACGTTAGGTTAAATTTTTACCTAAAACTTTTCCCTAAGGTCGGGCTTACGACTTTCCTACGAAAGTTGCCGGGTGGGGGGTCTTACAACCAAGTTCCTATAAACAAGGCTGCCCATATGATTTAAATTATTTAGGACTTATGGCTTCCCTTAGGAAGTAGCCTGAAAGCGGGTCTTACAACTTAATCCTTTAGACTAAGATGCCCATAATTGTGAATTTTTGATTGTTTGAGTGGACAATAGTTGTTTGAAACTAGACCACCGTGGTTTTCAGTTGGTTGTTTACTAGTAGTTGTACTTACTAGCTTGACTAGTTATCGTTGTAACACTAGTATTTTACTACAGTACTTTTCTTTTTATTGTTTTAGTATATTACTCTTCTTACACCACTGTATTAGTAGTTTGCTGCATCATTTTCTATTTTAGTATTTATTTGAATATTAAAATATTTCAATGATTAATGAACTTCATCCTTTTATTTGCAGGAGCTCGTACAGGAGAGTTGGAATTTTGGAGAGTTTGAGAGTTTTGGAGAGTTGACAATCAAATGTTATATATGTCATTTAGTGGAAACTTCCTTCCCCTCCCCCCTTTTTATTGCATTTGTTTTATAATTGCTCAAATTAATCATTGAATTCTAGTATTCTCGAATTTTAACTAACAGCTCTTAAAATTTGATCTCATATTTTAAAAATTCTCAGATCCAAAATTTTAATTTAAAATGCTCACATATTTTTTAAATTTTTTTGGATTTTCAAATACTCTAGGATTTAATTTGCTCGCATTTTAAACAGCTCCTGAATTCTATCTAATTAATTAATCAATCAATTTTTTTATTGAATATTTTTAACCAATTTTTTATTGATTAATTAAAAATTCAAATTTAATTGCCCTAAAATTATTCCAAAAGGTTCTATAATTTTCTTGAAATTTCGACCGCCTCCCGGCGTCACCTCCCCACCGAGAGAGAAATCGAGACGGTATTGCTGTAATTTCTTCCTACCCGGACGGGGTTCGATCACGCACGGGTCGGAGGAGGAGGTCGGTGTCGGACGTGGGTTCGGCCTGCTGGAGTCTACCAGCGGGTTGGAGGTAGAGGCGAAGGAGCGTCGCGTGCAATCTCTATACCTCCTGCAAAGCACGAAGTCAGATAGCAGTGAGGAGACGAGGAAGCGAAGTCGCGCGACCACGAAGGAGCCGAAGTCGCACAACCACAAGGGAAACAAGGGAGCGGTTCGTGCAATCTCCGCACCTCTAGCGAAGCAACAGAGCCGAACAGCAACGACAAAGAGAGAAGATGAAGGGCAAACCCTAGACGCTACGAAGCAAGAAGTCGAACAACGACGTCAGAATCGGGGGAGAGGTATAAGTTCTTTGTCCGTGCGCGATACAGAGAGATGAGCAAGAGAGGATTGCAAATGTTCTTATTTTCTCTTTGCCCGTCGTTTTTAAGCGATGAACGGCGGTTATTTAGTGAGTAGTTGCTTCGCTTCATGGTGTGGGGCCGGCTCGGAGACAGGTATACTTTGAATTTTTTTTTTATTCTGTATATATATTTTTTTATAGTCAACAGGCATAAATCAAAAGAAAATATATTGTCACTCTCCTAAGTTCACCAGAGTTCAACCAAGATGATTCAAATAAGGATCATTAGGATATTTGATAAGGACATCAGTAGAAGATTCCAGTGCGTCTATCACAGGAGACATCGCAGATCGATGGCCACGATCAGGAGCATCTATTAATGAGTTATTATATGTTATTGCATTAGTTTTATTTTCATTATTTATTTTATTTGACCTTTAATACCCCTATGAGGAAGTTTAGTGAGTTGTAACTCGGAGGGCATGTGTCTTTGATTTTTCTTCGTTGTTGAGGCATATATATAGCGGCCCTAATCTTTGTATTGGTTTTAATGATTGCTTAATGAAAATTTCATAATTTCTTTCTCTCAAGCTTGTGAGTTCTTGAGGGGTCAAGTCCCAAGTGTGGGCAAAGCAATACCCACCAATCGCGGATGTGCTCTACTAGGCTCGTGGTCCGACTTCTCCATTGCTTCTTTCAACCATCGGCCATACCCATCCCTGGGTGCCAAGCCGCCGGCCATACCCTTCCCGTATCCCAACCGTCAGCCACCAACCAACCTCCCCTCTCCAAACTCAGTGGCCCATCTTCCTTCTCCCACCATATTACCGGCGGCTTGGCCTAGCCGCTACCCCTTGGATCCTCTTGATGATGATTTCAATCATCATGCTTGATTGCCTAAAATAGCTAAGTCAATTTGGGAAAGACTATAATCCCAATTGAAATTTAAAATTGAATTTTCAAATACTTTCCTAAATTAATCTATCTAAATTTGGAAGTGTTTAAATTATAGTCTAATTTAATTTTGAATTAGATGTGATCCCATTATTTGATTCCTAATTTAAGATAACAAATTAAGAAGCA